AACATTACCAAAATCTCCTAATGTTCACTTAGTAGACTGTCAGCTGAGAATAGCAAGCTGAGTGTGAATTAAATAAAGAACAAAGAACTGCCCACTTTTCTACCTGTTAGAAGAGGTACAAAAGCTCAGACTGAAAAGTACCGAGCTCCAACAAAAGTAATCTATGACTTGTTTGGGAAGTTGGGAGGCCCATGGGCCTTGTCACAATTTGCTTCAATTCACTTGTTCTTGATAAATGAATGCCTAAGTGACCAGCTGAGGTACCAATTTGTGAAATAATCACAATTTTCAGATTTCTACCCACCTGATAACCATTTTCCCGAGGCCAAGAACAGTTCTTTAACATTTAAAGTAGAAGCTAACAAATTTTCCCTCAATAATGCATATAGTAATTTCATTCTGACATATTTTACCTCAAACAGTAATAAAATTAGCTAGATTCAAACTTAACAGTTTAAATGTAGGTCATTACAGTGTTTTAACACTTGATAACTTAAATTGCTCATCTTTAAGACTTAAGTTAAAATGCTAATTTGCAAGTAACTGGAATTGCTACACAAGCCAAGTTCCAAGCAAAACAATGTTTCATTATAAAGCTGTTATTTATGGCAACACCAACCAAGGTAAGAACTTGTCCATACAATATTTTAATCCTTTAGCTACTTTCAGTTAAGAAGTATCCAGGAAAGTACTTGGTAAATAGAAACACAAATATTAAACTTCCTCATACTTTTTAATTTCTTTACAAGTATGTGCATTATGTGCTCCTTCTGACTGCAAAAATCCCTTAAAGGACTGATTCTAAAAAGCATCTGTACAAAAATATACAATACAGCAAAATAAATGTCTTTAAAATAGTTGAAAGCTATTTAATTCAAAAGAGCTAGTCCCAAAACTTTTATTGTAGTTTTGTCTCAAGTAGACATTTGTGATGTAAAGTTAATGATCTGAATCTATAACATTTATTTCATTAAGCCAAGGCGTATACTGGCTTTAAACTACGCAAAAATACTAAAATACTACTAGAAAAATATAAACTCAAGTCCTTGAAGGTAAGAAAGGCATCTTCTATGTTTTTGCATATACACAGGAGTGTAGCAGAGTAAATGCTAAATAAATAACTAAACCTAGCCAGACTTTCATCCACATGCGAAATCCCATCTGACACAAGTGTATTTTCCAATACATATCAAACACGAGTAATTCACGTAGCGTGATAAGCTCCACAGAGGTCAAATTTATACTGTAACTGGGCGCGAACCTTTTTCCATTACAATTTCATATTTTTATTTTTCTGAGCCTCTCCTTTTCACAGGTCAAGTTCATATTTTAACTCACAGTTGCTGGTGAGGTCTGAAACTCATCACTCTGGACCTCATTTTCTTCAACTGGTAAGTTAATCTACTTAAAGGTCTTTCTCCAAAAGTCTGCTCCAATTTAAAAAAGAAAAAAGGAAAAAGATTCAAGCTCTAGCACCAGAGCCTAACTTCCCGCTGGCGGGAATTTCCCATCACCATGCTACGAGATTCAGACCTGATGAAGAACATAGTCCGTGTTCATTTGCGTGTACTCATTTTTTTCTCCGCTTTTTCCAGAAACTATTACGGCAGCACATCTATCAACTATCGGTACGAAGACACGTATGAAGGAAGCCCAAACCTTTTTCCTTTGTCACATGCCCACTTCCAACCTTAGTCCCCCTGGAAGCCCACAACTGGCCTAAGTGCAAATGCCGCTGCAATCTCCTCGGCAGCTGGCCTTTGGGGGCAGATGCTGCCCCAGGGACAAGTGCTCTTGGCGCAAAGGTGCCTTGGAGCCGCACATGGCGCTCCAGTAAAGAATGAAACAGGCTTGGGGGCCAGGAGCTTGAGGGCCTGGGTTCAAACAAATACCTGCCCCTTACCGTCTCCACCTGTGTGCCTTACGCCTTAGTCCGCTGTAGAATGAGAATAACCGTACCTACCTCTTTGCGTCGTTGTGAAAATTAAATGAGGGGCGGACAAGTTGCCCAGCACCGTGCCTGGCACACAGTGAGGGCTTAGAACAAACGTTAGTTATTATTACCACTAAGCATCCATGCAATCGCTGCTCCCTCTTCTCTCCCGGGAAAGCGAAGCAGCGGCACTTCTGCTCTGCGGGCCGGTAACACTCTTACCGTACTTTAGCGCTGGCCCTAACCCTAAATAAAAAGCCTCCTCCTGGTCCGCACTAAGCTGGAGCTCCTCGGCTAAGGGAGGAAAGGCTGGCGCGTGGCAGGGAGGAGGGACGGGCGGGAAAAGCTGACCAGTCGGCCCCGCGGGGCCCCCAGGCCCCCGAGATCGTCCTGGGGCCCGGGCGGCGGCCGCAGCTCGCTCCCGCCCCGCGTGGCCGTTGGACGCAGCACGCGCACGCGGCGGACACGGCCACGCGCTCCAGCCGGTGGGGGTGCAGGGGGCGGGAGCCGCCGCGCGCCCGTCCATCCGCCGCGCGCGCCTGCGGCCGTTGGGGCGGAGGGGGTGGGGGTTGGGGACGCGCCTCGCGCGGCCGCAGCTCGGACTTCTCTCTCTCCCAACCGCCCCAGCTCGTCCTCGTCCTCAGGCCGCGCCGCCCCGCCCACACCCCGGCGTACCTGCGCAAGAGAGCGGGAGAGGAACAAGCTTTGCTCCACTGCACTGAGGATGGCAGAAATCCCGCACGCAACTGCGTCCGCACACACGCGTGCTCCGCCGCCGGTCTATATAGCCGCGATTCAGCCTAACTTGTTGCGGCCAGGTCGGGCCAGCGGATGGCCAATCCCGACTGTGTCCTTTGGACTCTTCGAACAGCAATTGGGTACTGACTCAGGATGAAGGCGTGGCTCTTGATTGGCTTTGACTCATGCCTATGAGACTATCAGAATCTCGTTTCCCTAGTAACAGATTGGCACTAGGAGCGACCAATAGCTGGAAGGTAGCGTGGAAGGGAGGGTGGGCAGTTCCTTGACTGATACCCATAGTAGCAAATAAATATGTGGGACTGCTCTCATTCGTTAAAACGTCTTCACCTGGGCGGAGATCCGTTTTCCATGCAGGAGCGGTTGCTCCACAAGGTGGGGCCCGTGTACTTTGGGGAAGTAAACCCCAAGCAACTAGGAGGCGGGCGCCCAGGAGGCCAAGGAAGGCCTCGGCCAATCTCCACGCCGGAAGGAGCTGATTGACAGGGGGGTTGGACTGCTCCAAAGAGCCCGAACCCCAGGCCCGCCCGGCTTTCTGGGGCGGCGATGAGGCTGTCCAGGCTCCGGCTTCTGTCCTCTTTCCTTTCTTTCCCTGCGCTTATTAGGTCTGGCCCCTGAGGTCTCCTCTGCTGCCTTTTCCCCACGGTTTGGTAGCTGGGCAACCAAGTGGGAAAGTTTCCCGGGTTTTTCCCCTTCTTTTTATGACAACTTTTTAATTTCCATGGGGCAGCCTAAGGGCACTTGGTGGCTCTTATCATTAGTCAGCGCTATTGTTGGGCAACTGTGAAAGCCGAAGAGGAAAGTCGCTCCTGCAGCGAATGTGAGATCCTGTAAAGAGCCCACATGTGTAAACCACTGAGTGGAGAGCCGCATTTCGGCCGGTGCCTTTGAGTGCTGCTGCAGGCTGGCGGGTCGGCTCGGGGTGTTTCACGGGGCTTCTCTTTCGTGGTTGCTGAGGAACGGTGGTTGAGGCCTCCGTGCAACATCCTGTGCGTCACCACCTTTGTCATTCAGTTTTCCAATTGCTGTAGGTATGGGAGGCTTATTTCGCCTTTAAAAGGTAACTTGTCAAACTCTTTTACGGACGCCCCAGAGATCTGAAACGCCTGGGGGCTTAGTGGCGCCCCAGCCTGCTCGGGTCCACGTCGCTTAGTATATTGCTGGGCCCTCTGTTGGTCACCGTGAGCATTTTATGTGGAAATAGCTTAGGTTCCAACACGTTAGCATGGACACGCCCCGGGTTGTTCTCATTCCAGGCATGTGACCAGGCGGAGAATTTTGGAAATGAAGCACGTGGAGCGTCGCTGTTGGGGGGGAGAGAGGCCGAGCGGGCCGGCCCAGCCCGAGCTGGAGGGAGGAAAGGCGCCGGCAGCAGTCTGGTGGGACCCGCGCTGGGACTTGGGGAGGCCCAGGAGCGACGTGAAAGTCCCATGTGACCCCAAGTCCCCACTCCAGCATCGGCCCGCTCACCGGGCACCGGGGCTGAGGTCCAAGATGCTGTCACTGCTCGCGGTCACGCGTTCTCAGACAGGGGCGCTGTGCTGGGCCGGGAGCTCCCAGGCAACAGGCCCCTGAGCTCTCCCGAGGGAGCTCAGCCCGAATGAGAGACCCCACTAAAAGTTCTCCGGAGTAGGGAACGTCCAAGATCCGGTGAGCCATGCAAAGGAATTTGGACTTTATTCTGAGGGCAGTGGAGAGTCCCTGGAAGGTTTTTTTAACGGGCGGACTAAGATTTGCATTTTACAAAATGACTCTCCAAATTGAACTAATGAGAGCGGATTGGTGAAATTTTAAATTTACAGATCGGTAATTTAACTCAGGTCACATGTGATGGGGAACATGGCTACTCTTAATCACATTTGGAGGGGGTTTTAAGGGATACAGCTCTTTTTACTAGGGAATCTGGCAGTATTAATAAAATTGTGCAATCCCCAAAACAATAATGTAACTTCTTGGTTGCTAGCCACATTTGTTTACAAAGGCGTGTACCAAGGTGTTCACTGCAGCATTGTTGGAATACTTAAAATTGAAAACCTAGTCCTCAATTGGCAAATTGTTTAACGGTTATATGTACATAATATCGAATATTATGCAACAATTTAAATAAGAATGAGAACTATACAGATACAGATTGATCTCTAGTTGTTAATTGTATCGTTAATTGAAAAAAAAAATCACGTTCAGCAAAACATAAAAATTCCATAAGTTAAAGCAAGTATGCAAGTGCATGGGAAAAGTACGGTAGGGAAGTTGTAAATTTAAAACAACAGGCATTACCTCTAGGGAATCCAGTAGGTTAGGAGCGATTATATGTTCAAGAATTGTGTTTTGTAAAGAGAGGTAGAAAGAAGGAAAAGTAGGAAGAGGAAATGGATTACTAGAGGGAGAATGCAGGCAAGACCCTTTAAGTGGCTGTGGCTCTCTTCCAGAGAAGAGAGCAAGTTGGCTTCTTCCTGTGGTGGTTTCTCCAGGCACATTATAAACCTTCAGGCCCCAGATGCTGGATACTTAGTAATACTGTACTTAGCAAATGTTCAATGATTAACTTACCACTAATGAATTGTCTAGAGCAGCGATCCCCAACCTTTTTGGCAACAGGGACCAGTTTCACTGAAGACAGTTGTTTTTCCAGGGATGCGCGGGGGAGGGGGAACGGGGGGATGGAAGTGTTCGGGATGATTCAAGCATATCACACTTATTGTGCATCTTATTATTATTATTATTACATTGCAATATGTAATGAAATAATTACACAAACCTCTCTGCTAATGATAATCTGTATTTGCAGCTGCTCCCCAGTACTAGCATCACCGCCTCAGCTCCACCTCAGATCGTCAGCATTAGATTCTCATAAGAAGCGCAACCTAGATTCCTCGCATGCGCAGTTTACAATGGAGTTCGCGCTCCTATGAGAATCTCATTCCTCTGCTGATCTGACAGGAGGCGGAGCTCAGGCCGTGATGCGAATGAATGATGGGGAGCAGCTGTAAATACAGATGAAGCTTCGTGGCTCACCTCCTGCTGTGCAGCCTGGTTCCTAACAGGCCACTGACCAGTACCAGTCCACAGCCTGGGGGTTGGAGACCACAGGTCTAGAGCAGTAGTTCAGGAGGGATTTTGCCCCCAGGAGAAATAAGCCATTGTCACAACTGGGTAGAGGGCTACTGGGATCAAGCAGATAGAGGCCAGGGATGCACAAAAGAACCACCAACCCCCGCCCTCCCCCCACACACAGAATTATCCAGCCAAAAAGTCTCTAGTACTGAGGCTGAGAAACCCTTGTCTAGTCATCTAAGGGAGAATTCCCAGCCTCTTGCTGGTCTTTATCTCCGCTGCCAAGCAAAATCTGCAAATCCACATGGTGGCTCACACCTGTAATCCTAGCAGTCTGGGAGGCAGAGACCAGCCTGAGC